ATAATAAAAAAAATATATTTTTTTCTATTTATTTTATTTAGAATCAGTGTTTTTAAAAGAAAGTAATATCAGGTTTCAAACGCAGAAAAAAACTGACTGGTTTAATTTTATTTAAATCGGATTATTTTGACGCATATACCAACATAATCGATCTAGTCAGAGATAAGAGTTTTTATGGAATAATATAAAAAAACTCTGGATCAAAAGTTATTTGATTTTATGAAAAATCATGGACCACCTGTTACTTTTACATTTAATGTTGTATATAATTTTTATATATTCACTATTTTATATGTAAATAATTTAGAACTACTATATTCTTTGCAGAAGTTATATGCATATTTTTTCAATCGAAAATGGTTGAGATATTTTTAAAAATAAATAAAAATATTGTAAATAGTTCTTTAAATAAGTTTTAAAGACATATCTTAAAATACGATCACCTAGAAAAGTCTATTGAAATTATTTTATTTTAAAATATTTTTATACCATGGTAAACCATTCTATTCAATATGACTAGGGTAGGACTTTTTAAAAAAGTTTCTTTTTGTAGTTCTATATTAATATTAATCATTTGATAAATTATATACGAATCATAATATTTTATGATGATATTTTATAATTAGGGACGTGTTGTGACGCGGTGGTCACTCTAGTTGTTGACAAACTTTATTGTTAAGCCGTGCCTACCGCCATAGGTGAACGGATGGGTGATCATGCATGCGCTTCTACAGTAGCGAAAAAGCGCCATGTTCCTTGTGCAGAAGGAAACGGAAAACCCTGCACTTAAATTTCCCCAGGATATATCAATCCAATTGGTACTAACCAACCTAACGATTGAAAAAAATTATATAATTATACATTTGTATATTATATTTATAAACTAACAAAAAATCACAAGTCTAAAGTATTACTTAGTATATATATATACTATTTTTTTTATCGCTTTATCAGTCCATTAAGGGCCATAGCGGCCTCCCCCAAAGGAGAAGGTTTCTTGGCTATTTATACTCCGGGAAGGGTATTATTATTATATAATAATAAGTAACTAAATTAAATAAATATTTATTTTTGTGGGAACCCACATAAGAAATAGTAATTTTTTTAAATTCATTAATAGAAATATTTAAAACTTCTTAAAGAATAAGAATCTTTTTATTTTAATTTTAATTTTAAAAATTCCTAGTAACCTTCAAAAAGTTTCAATATAGTTATTTGAATGTTAAGTAATTTATTTAAGTGTATTAATTTGTTTATTAATGATATCGAATAATAAAGTTTATCAAATAATTCGATTTCGATACAAAATCTGTAACAAACTATTAAACAGAAATACAAAACGTAATAAATAATAATTTTTTTATTTAGAGATGATAAATATAGGTTATTTATTCTTATTTTGATTTTCGATTATATGAAGGAGTTTAGTTTTAAAACTCGAAACTTTATTTTTTAATTTATATGATATATGAATTAGATAATAAATATTTTTAGAAATATTATACCTTATCATTTTCATTAATTAATAAAATATATTTTTTTATTAATTCAGTAGTACTTAGTTACTTTCTGTACTTACTAAGTGCATACAGTACATTTCATAAGCATTAACTTCAAGTTATGCAGGGTGAAGATATTTTTGAATATGTTTAAAAGATTAAATCATAGTATTAACTTTTATTGTTTAATAAGCCATCCCTCAATGTACTTAATTTATTGATTCGATAACCAACAAAATTACAAAGGAAAGCAATTGCTTAAAATTATAAAAATAAAAATTTCATACTGGTGGTTTTCAATAACCGATTTCAACAAATGGAATTTTTTGTAAATATTTTTACATGTGGAAATTTTTATATATATATTTTATCTTCAATAAGTGCTGAAAAGATATTAGTTTTAATGCCGGCAAAACAATTGCAAGGCCTAGTACAAATTTTATTTTATTTTATCTCATTTTTTTTTAATGTTTTGTATTCATTTAAATACTTCACTACTATTGGAATTAATTTGCTCTACGATATGTTAAAAAATCACAAAGAGTTTCTATTTAAAATTAATTTAAAATATCAATTTAATCATAATTACACTAAATATTTTTTTAAAAACTGGCTGGATTATTGTGAAATTTTAATTGATTGGTAATAATACTTCAATCATTCCCCTTACCGACGACATACATTTTTTGAAAATCCAATCGTTAACCAAGGTTATATGGAGACTTGAAAGACATATTAATGTATTTTTGTTTTCAATGATCATAATGTTTATAATTTTTGAAGGAACTTGTATCCTTTAAACGTTTGTCATATCAATACAATTAAGCCAATACAATGTACTTTGAGAGTATTACAAAAATATACAACACATTTACACAAGGATAACGATTACATTAATAATTCAACATTTTAATAGGATATACAGTTAGGCGGGTAATAGTAAATTGTTCAGATTCTTCTCAAGTAAGGGTCGCTAAGACGTAGTCAAATTGATGTCGGAAATAAAATTTACAAATAATATCGAAACAGGTCGTCATCAGCCACGCGGTATTAGATGAAATTTCAGAGGTCTATTTAGAACTTATTTCTTTTTACTTTGGTAAGTATGCTGTAGAACATTTTTGATAAACAGCAAAATTATGACTAAATAAAAGATCTTTAGAGCCATATTTCGTAAATGTCGGCTTTAAAAAATATTGATAGCACTGATCCAGGGGATGGCAATCACCTCTATCGCTTATCCTCCTTAAATAAGCCCCTGTGTACTTTGTACTCTCTTGTACGGAATGTACTCTCTTAAATGGAAAATAACCACAACGGAAGAGTACGGCTGGGTGATCTATAATAACACAGACCGCCCAGTCCAAGACAATTAATTTTTTATTATTCATTTATTTTTTATACAAATCTAAACAAAAAAACTTAATTACTGTTTGAACGCAAAGAAATACGTACAAAACTTTTATTCAGATTTTGATAATTTTCTGAAACTTGTTCTCTAAACCAAACCAAATTAAATCTCTTAAATAGTAATTCAAGATTCAAAAATAGAAACGTCCGGACAACATTTTTCATCAAGTAATATAAGGACAATAACAAGTAATAAAGGAAGTCAAAGTTATATTTATGAAATTTCCGTTAAAATTTTATTTTTTTGACTTTTATTTATGAAAAAATAAATCGAAATCTATTCTGTAGTCAATGCCTGACACTTATTATGTCAAAAAAGATATATAAAATGAATGTGCCACTAAAATAACTTTGGCATGCACAAAATTTGGTACCGGCAATCTGATTCTGAAAGTAATTTTGAAGTAGATTCCGAATTTGGCATTAGATTTTTCCTATCAGCTCTTTTAAGGTATATATTTCTAAGAAATTAGAAAATACATGTTAAAATAATTACAAAAAAAAAAAAGGAATTTTATTTTTTATTTTGCCAAATAAATTAAATTTGTAGGTATTTTAAAATATTTCAGGAAAGATTACAAGAGGCTGGCACCTCTCCCTGAACTATTATAGTCTTTTTTAAAAAAAACTCTTTACATAGATAAAAAAAGAAAAAATTAATTTTTAAGTCTAAAATCTTTTTATAACCCTCTTAAAAAACTTCTAGAACTGCCCCTACTAAACCCCGTCATCTAAAAAATTCTAGAGATGACCAATTTACCATTAAAAAAGGATAACCGATCTGGTCATCACAAGTTTGGTCAAAGGTTATTACGAAATATTCAAGATTTTCATATAATTCTCATATTAAATAAAATCAAATTAATGGCAATTAGATGCATAAATCAACCCGAAAGCTTTGTTACGAGACAAAGTTGATTACGGACTTTAAAAAAAAAATTCTTTTTAGATTTAATTTAGAATTTTCTGTGAGTGATCAAGTATTTCTAATAATTTCCTAATTTCGTAATATCACATTATGTTTCCATGATCTTCCTATTATTTATGCACTAGGTTTTTTATAAATAAAATATTTAAATGTGTATATTAACTAACTATAGGTAGCATACTAATTACTATATTATGGTAACTAGTATTCTATGATAATCATCATAAAACAAATACAGATATACTAATTTTTAATGTAACACTTTGGATTTTAATGAAAAGAAATTTTGATCTCAGATAATATTATCAGAGTTTGAAAAAATATTTTAATTTATAATTTTGGTAGGTTTCATACAATGTATTTAATTCAAAAAAAGATAAAGTTTAATATAGTAGAATAAAAAAAAAATTCTGTTTTATTGTAAATATTGTAAATAAATTATATCTTTTTAATTTTCTTCAAATTTAATGTGTAATAAATACATATTTTAATAATAATTCAGAAGAAACCAATATTCGTTTTAAGTATTTTACTTTTGATAATAATCACTAATAATTATTATCGAACTTTATTGAGAATTAAGATGTTTTTTGTGAGAGGAAAAATCGTTGAATTAAATATAATTTTAATCATAATTATTTTCTAAAACTAAATTATTTTCAAGGTTTTAAAAATGCAAAAAAAAAATTAATTATAAAATACGGAATAATTTTATACTGCTTAATTAGTATGCTGCGATTAAATAAAATAGTACAGTTTTTAAAATAATATTTTTTATTTTACATTGTGGAATGACATTTAATCGAGTAATAGATTGTATTTAAATTGTAAACAAATGAAATAGATCCGGAAAAAATGTACCGTTAATTAGATGTAATTTGTATTAAATGTAATTCTGTCTTAATAATACTCATATCAAATATCACATTTTATTCAATTATAAAATAGGCATACACAATATAAAAAATTAATTTAATTTATAAGTACAGAAAAAAAATCATATTTTTAAAATATCTCATAGGAATTGTTATTTACGCAATTCCACGTTAATACGCATATAATTTAAGAACTATTTATTTACCTCTCTACCTATGATGTATAGTAAAAATCAATATTTTTTCAATTCTGATGAAAATGGGGGATATAACATGTATTTATATAAATGAATCACTCTACTTAGTTTTGAGTTTAAGGTTTGTTCTTGAAAGATATTTTTCAACTAAGTTGATGAAAATCTGAAACATTATGGTTCGTAGAATACAAAAAACATTATATATAAATTATAATATTTTTAATTAAACCTTATTTTTTCAGAATCCTACAGTTTTATCTTTGGCCTTATTTATTTTTTGCTGCATTCTTCCTTATGGTATTATTCTCTCTTATTATTAATTATTAAAACAAAATAATATTTCCTTTATGATTAGTTATGTTATAATTTCTTTTTTGTTTATATATCTTTATAGGACTTGCCGCACAAGGTAAATACAAAAAAAATAATAAAATGTTATTGATCATTTATATTATTGTAACAGTTTTTATAGACATTTTTACTAGATGTGAAAATTAAGTAATGAGTCTGATAATTTAGCGAATGATATTTTAACAAGAGAATGTCATTTATAACAACCGATAAAATTTAAACAAAAATATAGATCTCATTTTATTTATTGATTGATCGCTAAATTATCAAAAGACAGTTATTAGTCTTATTACTTAGTTTGCAGATTTTATATCACAAATAATTATAAAAACTAATGACATTTAGTTATCAAAACTAAAGAAATATGTTTAGATTTTAAATAACTAATTCATTCAATTTAATTAGTAAAGTAATTAATTTAATCATATTTTATTCTCAAGATATCATTTTGATTTATATTAAAAATTATTATAGCTCAACTATTAGACAAATAACTTTAGATTAGGAAACCGGATTTTGACAGGATTGCTAAAATTAGTAAATTTAGTATTAAATAAAAACATTTATTTAATTTTTGTTACCTTATTTTTTATAAGAAAATCGAAGCGTAAAATTATTATTTTATCATCGAATAAGTAGAAATATTGAAATATAATAATGTTTCATTACTTATGTACAAATTTTAAGCAAAGAACTTTTGTTTTGACTGGTTGTTACAACATGTATATAAATAATCCAACTATTTTTTTTATATATTCATAATAAATCAGAATTCTTCAATAAAATTTTTTGCGCAAAATTTATTTTAGTTTTTAGGGTTTCTTTTTTTATAGTTTTTCATAATCTACTCAATAATTTAAAAGATTAAAATAATTCTGAAAATTTTTTTTTTTTTTGTCTATTTTAATTATAAATATTATTTGATTTATCAGTTATTATCACTTTGAAATATAGACTGGAGATGAAGTAGAGTTAGTTAATTTTATCTTTGTATATTTCTTTGCCGCGTTACAAGTCTGGACTAGTAAAAACAATATGCATAACTCCAGAAGAAGTGGTTTAAAAGTTGTTCTCGACCAAAAATTGTCTTATTTCGACCATTTTTAACGTTTAAGTTAGTTAAATATGTACAGAGTGATCAAATTATCATAAATAATTTCACTACTTGAAAAATAAAATATTGAAAAAAATATTTATTGATTTTTTTTTTTAGTTATATATATATATATATTTCATTATTTAGATTTTTTATATAGCATGATTGATTTTTATTTATCACTAGATTTCTTCTAAAATAATAATAATTAAGAGAATTTTTTTTAATTATTTATGTAGCATTTATTTTTTGAATTTGTAGTGATTGAATATTTTATAGGTCTATTCCTTATCCCTTATAAGAGTATAAACTTAATTTTTTTTAACGAAATTTTATATATATATATATATATATATATATATTTATTTAGCTTATAAAATAAAAAAAATCTAATAAGGAAGATGACTTGTTGACAATAACTTTTGAGCCAGTACTTTGGAAATTATTAAATTAAAGACTGATGCAATCGAGAAATATTTGTAACAAAATTTAACAAAAAAAAAAAATTCCTAAAATTTCTATTTTGTAAATAACCAAGTTTTTATAAATCGAACACTCTGAATAAGTGAGACTGGGGTACATTTTAATGTGGGGTATATTTAAGTTAATTAAATAAAACTAGTTGTGATAATAAATTAAGTTCATGTATAATAAACATATTAAATAATGGGTATAACATGACCAATCATCTTTATTTTACATGAACTTAATTTATTACCCTAACTAGTTTTATATAATCAATTCAAATCTATGCCACATTCAAATGTGCCCCAGTCTCTTCTATAATAAAACTGAAAACTTAGTTATAAGTAAAAAGGGAGAGGTGACTTTAATTATTGAGCATATCTTGTGCTCAGCAAATGATTAAGTTTTGTTCTGGGGAGATATAAATAATACAATTATTCACTACCCTCTCCAAATGAAAAATATTTATTTTTACCTAGTAAACATTTTTGCTCTTAAAGATCTATTTCCCTTGCAAGTTAATAGCTATTGACAACCAAAACACAAATATGTTTCGAGGTACTCCCGTGTATCGGTTGTACTTCGATTTTATTTTGTTTTATAAATTACTAATCTTTTTTTAATTTATTAATGAATTATCTACATAGAATCTAAAGAAGGTAAGTTCAATAATTTAATTTAAATAATAATTTAATAATAAAAATAATTTATTACTTCTATACAATTTAAAAATTTCTGTCTATCATAAAAATAATTATGATGAGATTGCCAAGTATTTAAAATTAATTTTTAGTTATTAATTACGATAGTTAAAAATATAAATTTTGAGGGGCTGAAATTTGAATAGAAAAAGTTGTTTAGTTTTGGCTCAGTGATTACTATTATCAATTAAAATAAAAGTTCATAATTATTTATAAAAGAATCTATATGACTTGATAGTCGTAACTCTTAAAGAAATATTTAAAGTGACGTGAGAATGTAATGTGTAATTAATAAGAATTAATAAGAATAAATGTTACGAGAAAGTAAGAAAAAAATGATCGAAAGGGACCTTAATTGATTTTTTAGACAAATATCTATATAAAAATCTACTATAGTACTATTGGTTGCATAGAAAAAAGGTTAATGCTACAATAATTTTAATTTCTAAAACAATAAATATTGAGACTTTTTTTTATTTTCGCCTAAGTCCTGAACATTGAAGGGAATCCTCAGTTCTTAAATACGGTATATGTTAATCTATATCGTTATAATGTAATAAGTGCTTATTTTTGCTAATTATATATTTTTTATATTTGATAAAATATTGACTCGGCCATCGGGAATTGATGGCTGGTCATCAAAAATTTTTCGGAAATTATGTAAAAAAAGAGGCATGGCATAGTCGTGGGTACGGATTAGTACCCACGACATAAGGCGTCATAGAGACAAAACTTAACACAAGACTACTGTGTACTTTTGATTCAGGTCATAAGATACACTTTTATATAACTTGATAACATGATGTGCAGTAGAGGGAAACACAGTATCGTATCAATATCAAAGCTGCCTAAAAACTTTGAGATCCTAAAATTGGTTTAGTCCTGTAAAGTCATTTATTATTTTAATATTTGTGTATATTAATCAAAGTTAGGAACCGAAATAATTTTGATATTTAGTAATTTTTCTTATCTATTAAATTAGTTCATCTATATGAAATATTTTTTAGTACATGTTGAAAAAATAATTAAAGAACTCAATAAAAAATTTTTGAGTTTTTCTTTGAAACCTTTATTAAACTTAAAATTAACCTTAAAAAAGTTAAAAAGCTGAAAAAACATATCAGCTAATTTCAGTTTTTTAAATTTATGTGATCAAATTTTTAGTTTAGTTAACATTTTAAAATCGATTCCATAATATTTTTAGTTTCTACAATTATTAACTTAACAAATTTTTGAAAAAAATTCGATATTGATATATTAACTTACTAGGTATGGTAAAAATATTAGAGAAACTGAAGTAATTTTGGTTTCTAGCCCTGATTTTTATAATTGTTTAAATGAAATAGAATTTAATAATCAAGAAAATTAAAATTTTAATTCAGTTATAAATTGAATTAAAATTTTTAAATAATAAACGTTATGTTTTCAATTTTAGAATTATTTAAAAAAATTTTCATAGTAATTGTTCGTAATAAGTGATTTGATAATTGTTAAGATGGATAGTTTTTAATTATTTTTAGAATATATGTTCCTTTACATATCACATTATTATTTTTTTATTTTAAAAGGTAATAAATTATTATATTATATTCAATTTATGTTAAATCTTATTTTTAGATTGTGCTTGTTGTATGTCAGAAGTTCAAGATAAAGTTCTGAGTTGCTGTAATGAAAGTTTTTGTAGAAGTTGTATCGAAGAATCGATTACCCATAAAGCAGATTGTCAAAAATGTAAAAATCCATTATCAAGTAGGTTTTTTTCTCAGATAAGTTTAATTTTTAGTGTATAATGATTTATTTATCATTTTAAAATTAAGTTAACTAAATAAAATTGATTGTTTAAAAATTTAAGTTGTATAATATTTATCAAAATAAAAAATTAATAGTTTGATTTTATAATATCTATGAAATTAACTTATTTTTTATGTCACCAGTCGGTTGAATCAATTATTTATCAACAGAAATAAAAATGCTCATAGCGGCCAATTCAATAATTAAATTTTTTGATATATTTTCATTTACAAAAAAAAATAAGAAGATTTTCTCTTAATTTGAGTTTGATTTGTTAACTGTACATAATTTGAGTTATTTCTTTTTATTGATTAATTATAATTGAGTTATAAAATGATTATCTTTTCAGTATCGCATCAAAACTAATATAAGAAATTATTTTACTATAATTAAATGAAAAGATCAAAAATCCAATAATTATATTTTGTAGAATTAAAGGAAACAAAACCTCCTTCAAGACCCTATCCTGTGGAACAACCAAGACGTTCTGTGCCACCTGCAAATAATCATGTAAGCGACGAAGATGATGATGAAGTTCCATTAAATACTAGAACAACTATGCCAACGAATTCCAATCTTCCTACTACAGGTAATAATATTTCTAACTATGTAACTAAAATTAGTTACTTGAAAATAACACAAAATAATTTTAATCAAACTACGTCAACTTGCTTACTAATTACAAAAATTGTATGTGTCACACACAATAATAATCTATTAGTCTATTGCAGTTTTGATCATAAAATTATTGTTTTCTGTGAAAACGGCTATAATAATCATAGTAAAATTTATGTGAATACAGACACTATAGTGGCACATTTAGTATTACATACAAATTCAGTCTCTTTATAATTAAATCTTTTAATTTTACATTTTTGTAAATTAATGCATACCTTATCACGACTATCAGAACAAGCCTTGATAATGTGTAAGAAATAAATTGAGCAACATTTCTTATCTTAATATTAGGTACATTATTAACTTTATCAATTTATATATTATATTGATTTACGATATAATAATATTAATATGACATAGTTATCATGTTAGTGAACATTTTAACATTACCAAATCTAAAGTTTTTGACTCAACATAGATAATGAGGTTTGTGTCAATATAATAACTTATACAGCCATCTGTTAGAAAATTAAAAATAAAATTTCGATGCGAAGCTGAGAATACGCATATGTTAAATATTTCTCCAAGTTAGTTATTTAAATTTTTGATTAAAAAGAATTATGTTATTCTAAGAAATTGAATATAATATATTAGTAGAAATGTTGATTATCTTGTATGAAAAGGTTAAATAAAAGACCATTATTGTGGATACAAACGGAGTAGCCTACTGTTATTTTATATTGTGATAGTTACGAGTATATTACGACACAAGAAAACTTTTGCTTTCTTAATAATCTGCTCTATTATCAAGTATTAGTCAGTAAAAATTTGTTTATATTACTGTTTAGAAAAACGATGACTACTATATTTAAAACAGTATAATAACAAAATTTTAAATTAAAATCATTGTTCTTTAACATAATATGTAATATATAATATAACATAATATATATTATATCAAATGAACAATTGACCGGAAAAAAAAATTATAAGAACAAAATTGTTTATATTTTATTCTTCTAACATATTACTAAATTAAAAATAGGGGTTCCCATGTTGAAAAATTAGACTTAAGATTTGATGATCCTGAATGGATGAAAAACAAATTAACTAACTACATATCATTTTAGATTTTTATTAACTAAATAATTTATCTGCTATTAAAAAAAATTTTAATTTTCAAATGTTTTTGAGAAAATAAGTGTACTACTAGATTTTGATCGTTCTGTATGAAAAATGAATTATGAAGCATACAATCTCCAATTTGTCGTTAAATAATGATTTTTTTTTATAAAAATGTATACACAGTGATCGGTTTATCATTAAACTCTTTAAATTGCAAAATAAATACAATATTGGAAAATTAATTTTTAATTTATTTCATTTATTTAATAAATTTTGATTTATCAAAATATAATAATAATTACATTTTAGAATTGCCTCTTAAAAAGGGGTAACAACTTTATTTTTTTTAATGGTAACATACTTATTTAAGTAGCTTATATAATAAGAAATAATCTAATTAAAAACATGACAGGTTGATAAGAATTTTTGGATCAGTACTTTGTAAGTTATTCTCATTTTTATACCTAGAAGAGAAGAAGAGTATGACCGGGTAATGAATAGTAATACACACTTCTCACCACCAGTCATCAATTTAAGTTATTAGTAACTTCTGAAATACTTGTTGTTATCGATCGGTCATTTTCTTAACTAGATTATTTCCTATTTTATAAGCTAGATAAATATGTAAGTTTACAATTTAAAGAATAAAGTTAATATCCCTATATGATGTAAGGAATGATTTTAAAAAGTAATTAATTGAAATTAAAAAATTTTAAGTAAATAAAAGAAATCAAAAATGGATTTTCCAATATTGTATTTATTTTGTGAGTAAGCGTGTGGTTTGTGATAAACCGATCACGCAGTAGATTTAATATAATTTTTTTTAAAAACCATTAAAAATGTACAGTTAAAAATACAGGAAAAAGTATTTACTAAATTTTACCCTTAAATATGATTTTTTCTTATCATTTTTACATGAACAATGAGTAATAAAAATTAAATAAATTTTAATCCATATATTTTTATAAAAAAAAATCATTATTTAAAAAACAATATTTTTAATTTTCTCCTAATACTATATTTCTTTTTTTTATTTGACATCAATCATTTAACGTAAACATGAGAGGTTAATTTATTAACTTTTATTTATTTATTATATATAATATATTTATTTATTATATATAATATATTTATTTATTATATATTATAATGTATATTTATTAACTATTAATTTTTTTTTCTAATTAGGTGGATATAATGACGCTGAATTTCGTAAGAATTTACATTTTTAATTCAAAAATAATATATTTTATATAAATCTACAATTATTTTATATAGAATCGCAATTACAAGCGACATTAGAAGCATCACGTATGTAAAATTTTATGAAAAAAGCTTTTAAAATAAAATAAACGTATATGCCTGTTATATATATATGCTCATATTTCTTACGATATTATTGAATGGTTTGCAAAATTGTATTGATATGTAAATAATAGTAAAAAAGGAAAGTATAATACATGAAAATAAAACTGTAGCACAGTGGGGTCCCAGCACAGAATGGGCGTGGGATAGTTAGGACAAGTAGAAATAATATCAGGCAGTGATTAAAATAACTATAATAAGAAATGCTTTGATGAAAATCTGTAGATAATCTGTTTACAAAAGCAGCATCAACTCCCATTCCTTAAGTATTGCCCAAATAATAATTTTTATATGTAAAAGTATAATATATGAATAAATATTAATTATAGCAAATAAATATAGTATAAAATTAATATTTAATAAATTAATATTGTAATTTTTACGGAGAAATAATCAAAAATCATAATGTAGTATATTAGATCACTTTATAGCAAACATGTATACAAATTAAAGGGTTTGATCCTTTTTTTTATAAAAATGTTTCTTTTAATTATGAATAAATATAATGGTTTACAAGGATCTTTCATCGGAATCAAATATATTCTTTTCTAATTAAACATTTTGTACTGTTTTCAAAACTGAAATTAGACTTTTTCTAAGTTTTGATATTATTACTAATTAATACATATAATTATAATTTACATATAAAAAAATATAAAACCGAGAAATATAACAAAAAACAGGATTTTTTTTAATACGGTAGCCAATTTTATCATAAAAACAAAATAAAGTTACAATTTTTCTTTCTCATATTAAAGTAAATTACATAAAATTTAATTTAAGATATATATATATATATATATCAGTATTTTCAGAAAATGTTCAAAGGTTAAGTTAAAAAAGTAAATTTCTTGTGAAAAGTTTTCATTTTGAATCCCCCCCGTGGACAGGTAAAGTATCAGATTTACAAAAAAAATATACAAAATAAAAGGTAAATATCTCATATTTTTTTATTAGGCATTCATTTGTCGCATTCGTCTTGAATCAAAATGGCAATTTAAGCTAATTCAAACTTTAAAGTTACTTTTTTCGATTTAAAAGAAAAAAAAATTTAAATAAGTTTAAATTCATGTACTATGTCAATTAGATTTATATAATATTCATGAAAATCAATGTACTCCCCTTATAAGGTATATTAAAATAAATTAAAATACAAGAACAAATTTTAACACAAAAAAGGCATATTTATGAATATTATACTCAAAAATGGCTATCATAGCCATTTTCATCATGAAAACAAACCTTTTGCTTTTATAAACATTATCTACAGATTTGCATCGAAGCGTTTCTTATTATAGTGATTTTAATCACTGTCTGATATCATTTCTACTTGTCCCAACTATCTCGAGCCCATGCTTTACTGTGACCCCACTGTACTACCGTCTACTTTAGTTTTACATTTTAGTGAATTAATGCAAACCTGATCACAAAAATAAAATTAATAATGAAAAGGCCTTAAAAAATTGTTAACAATATGACTGTTTGTACTACAAAGTATAAAGTTGGCATAAAATTCATGATAATTTATGTTCTAAAAATGTTATAACTTTTGACATATAGCTACTATACAAATGTAATTATGTATTTGATATAACCACCTAGATTACATTATTCAATTGGTTCTTATCATGTTATTAATAACGACCCAAAAGCAATTGCTTCTTTTTCATTATTTTTTCATTATTTTTTTTATTCAACATCAATCATTTAACGAAAATATGAGAGGTAGTATGCTTAATACACTACTCTGTATATTAATATTTTGTTTTACCAATTAGTTGAATATAATGACGATTATGATGCTGAATATCGTAAGAATTTACATTTAATATAAATCAATTCAAAAATAATATATTTTATATAAATCGACAATTCTTTTGTATAGAATCAGTATTGCAAGCGACATTAGAAGCATCACGTACGTAAAATTTTATAAAAAAATCTTTTAAAATAAAATAAATGTATATGCCTAACATAAATATGCTCATATATCTCACGATATAATTCAATGGTTTGCATAATTGTATTCCTTTGAAAAAATATATACAGTAAACATTGTATACAATTATAAAATGGATAGAAACAACAGAGTAAAGTGTGCAAAGACCTTATCATAATCGAAAGTTTTTAGCTTTTGAAAGTATGTTATTATATTACAATATATTATGCTTATTTCTATTATATTAACAAATTAAAAGTGACCTGACAAATAAATTATTTTTAGTAAAAACAATGTAAAATTTTTTTATCAATTATTAATTACATTATTGTCGATTCCTTTTATAAATTAATTATAAAATACGAATAACAATATTTACAACTTAAATCGTTATTATTATTATGTAGTTGAAAACAATGGTTTTAAATTAATCTGTAATATTAGGTATTAGCTTTAATTTTTCATATAATATTTTATATGATTCTTTATATAAACTACAGTTAGTATCAAATTTGAGAATGTATCACAAAACATGTTATTTGGTATTTTTTATTTATAATATAACATAATATAATAATCACAATTAGAGATATTCACTTTATTTTCTCATAAAATTATTTTTTATTTATCTGAGGTTTTTTATTTTTATAGTACTTGACACGACAGGTAAATTTTTTCATCCATATACCATTGTAAATGACTTTTCTCTTGAAATATGTACTTAATTTTACATTTGTATTATTTAGGCGTACATCCAGACATAATAGGTAAGAATTTAAAATAAATATATTCATTAAACACTATTATATTATACTAATAAAACCATTTTATCTATTGTTATTTTTTTATATAGACTTTATAGAGAACGGTAGTAAGTATTTAAATTAAAAATATTATTTTTTATATTTATAAATTAATATACTATAATTATATTATTTCAATATTTTATAATAAAGGCTGGGCATTAACGTGATTAAATTACAATCATGTCAAAATATCAATTTAATTTAATAAAGTTGGGTAACTTTTTATTGGAGGAGTAAGAAGTTTGACTGAAATTCAATAAAAAATAAACTTCAATAGCGTTTAGAAAACTTAATTTTTTGAAAATGTCCTTCATCATACTTTTTCAAGTGCTACTACATCTGAATTTTAAACAAAATTCTTTCATTATATCTCAATAATCATTAGACCGTAGTTAATTTTACTTAAATAAACAAAAATGCATTGTAGGTGGTCACTTGTGCGATGGATGCAAAAATTTGTCTGGAAAAGAATATAGTTGTGGAAATCATTTTTATTGTAATACTTGTGTTGCTAGAATGACAGACGATAAAATTGGTTGTCTAGAATGTGTTGTCGATGAATCTGATAGTTAAGGTTTGTAATTTTATAATATTCTACATACTATGTTTTTTATTTAACTGTTGTTATGTGAGCTAGACGTGGGAAGGTGTAACAAATAATGAAAAACACGATTGCCTAAGTTACTGATATAGAATTTAATCACTTCATTTAAAAACAAAATTAAACAATTTATAATAGTACACATAATAGAATAATATGGACTGAGAAATACGACATAAAATTAAGATCTGGGATACTATAAGTGTTCACAAGGACAAGACCAAACTATGACTGCCTATGTGGGACCTAATGGTGGAAGTCTATTACTGTTGTCCGACTGTAGTCAGACGTCTTTATACTCTATACATTATATACAATACTATCCGGTATTTTTTATGCTATTTTACCTCGGTTCTTAACACTATTATCTAAATTCAAATATTTTTATAAATGTTTATATTTTTAAACTTTTTTTTAGCTCATATTAATTTTTACCGTGTTGTGTTTATTTGTATATATATATATATATATATTTTTTTTTTGGGTCTGTCCATCTAAATATTCAACTCCTAATGAACCAAAGTTATTGATTAATACATCATAGATCTAAAATTATACCTATTTGTAAACACTACCTCAAAAGTTAAAAAAGTTATTCTGAATATTTTATTTTGATGAAAAAAATTTTTGGGAGAAGATTTTCCAACAAATTACAAACATTGAAATCGATAAATTTTGACTTTTAGTTTTTTTATTATAACGTTTTTAAAAATAATTAAATGAAAATGAAATTTTTATTACCATACGATTTTTGAAAGAAAAAAAATTTGTCATTATAACTTGTCTTATATGTGTAAAGACCGACAAAGATAAATGTAAACCGTATTGTTAGCCAATTTTTTTTATCATAAAATGTATTATTTTTTATTCATTTTTTTGACACGGCAAATATTTCTATTATTATAGTAGCTATAATAATGGCTCATTAAAGAGACTTAGGGCTGTTATTACAATATCACGCTAAAATTTAATTAACTGCTAGTTAAGCTAGAATTCTTGACAATATCTAGTGGATACTCGTGTAGCGTTAACTTTAGTGGATAATTTAGTACAAATTATTTTTACAATTTCACTATTACTGTTGACTATTAGCTAAATTATTCCAAATGTAACGATTTTTTGATTGACTGATAAGTGATCAGCTCTTATGATTCAATTGAAAAAAAATGTCAATATTTTAATTTCGTCGCTTATTGATTTTGTTACATTGTTATCATCTATAAACTGCCAGTAGTGTAGCCTGAAGGGGGAGCTAGGGAGATAAAAAACCCAAAACTTTCACAATAATAGTAATTAATAATAATTATAATTTTTTTTTAATAATAATTTTTTGTCAGATATAAATGGGGAAGGGAGGTAAAATAATATTTATCCCTTCCTGTAGTTTGATTTGAGTACAACAGTTTTCTATGCCCCCGCGGTTCTGGGGCTACTGATCTTCTAACAATTATATTTCCTTATGTTAAAATTAAATAAGACACTTAGTAAAAATACTCGTTCGTCATCTATTTTCATTTAGTAACTGGTTATTAGTCCAAACCCAAACTTATCAGGAACATTTACTAAACAGGTCTAGTAGTATTATTAAAAAAATAATTTAACAAATAATTCTACTATTAATTCGTTCATTATTCATTCAATAACTTAAAATGTATACTGATTTTTATTTTTTTACAGCAATCCGGGTCTAAATGCAATGGAATTGAAAATCAATATTAAATAACATTATCAAAAACAGTTTTATTTTCATTGAATGATTCAAAATTAATTAGTTGTTATAATCATTATTAGTGTTTCATAAAACGAGTGTATTTTTATTAAAATGCTTCTAATCGGTTCATTGTTTTTTATGTTTTAGTTTAATGTACCAAAATAATAAAACTACCATACTTTCACATGTGTAAATTTTTTTTATAAAAATATTATATCTCATGTCCCATATCTCTGCATAAAAGCAGAAAATAATGTTTTGCTAACTTCAATAACGATTGATAATATATGAAGGAAAGTATTGATAAACTATTAATATAGTTTACACGTCCGCTAAGGATTAGAGGTCGGTCATAGAAAGATACCAAAATTCGTGTAAAAAAATAACAAGGGACTAGAATGCGCGACTCAAAGCGTCGTAGAGACAAATCTTACCACTAAGCCACCATGCACTTATGATTCAGATCTCAACACACTTCTGTATAAGTTGATAACGTGGTGTGCGGCTAAAGTAGACTATGATTTACCAATCCGTGGGATATAAAATATATAAAAAAGATATACATAGAAAAATTATATAAAAAATATAATTAATTTATGTTATTGGATCCCTTAAAAAAAACAAACATTAAATAAAAATAAATTAGTAACTGTTAAATAAATAAGTATAGTAAATATATATACAAAGTGTCCAGATCTAACTGACTACGCTATAACTTTTGATACAATTATGAGTTTGTTGAAATTTATTTTATTTTATAATTATTTCCTTTTTAAGCTATGTTTAAAGTATAATCTTTATTATTTATCACTACTAAAAAAATATGTTTTTTACGTAGTCTAAAAAGACAATAATTATTAAAAACCTAGCACAGAGGGTTCGCGGCAAAGTGGTGACATGGCATGGTTGGTGACATACCATCTAACTCGAGATATATATACGAAAAAGGAAATGTGCCAGATGATTATTGTAAAAGCATAATTGTAACTATACCAAAGAAAAGTGGAGCAAATTTTTATGAACAGTTTAGAATACTGCGTCTACTGATACACGTATCAAATATCCTAATAAAAATAATAAATCGAAGAATAGAAGGAAAAGTGGAGCAGTACTTAAACAATGACCAAAACGGGTTTAGAAGACAAAAAAGTACACAAGAAGCAATTTTAGGACTGTGAGTGCTAATTGAAAAACTGATCGATAGAATTGATGTTACATAGTTGGCCTTCATAGACCTGAAAAGATCCTTCAACAAAGTAAATTTAACAAAATTCTGCTCACACTACGAGAAATAGGCGTTGAACAACACCTAAGAATCTTCCACAGTCTTTACAAGAAACAGACAGCTTGCATTAAAAATGGAGAAATCATAACTAACGCTTAAATAAAAAAAGTCCGGTAAGGGTGTTGTTATCACCATCACTTTTTAACTGCTACATCGAAAAAGTTATAAATATAGTGAAAGCAAAGCTAATAAGGCTAAATATTGGAATCAAAATTGGCGAAGAAATTGTTTCAATGATACGATTTGCCGATGATATTGTGATAAAAGCAGAAAGTGAAGGTGATATACAGCGTGCAGATGAAGAAATGGATGAAATGTTCAGAACATCAGAAATGAAAATAAATAGTGCAAAAACAAAGATCTTAGTTTGCTCCAGAGACCCGAAAGTAAAAGCTGATGTATACATAGATAGTCAAAAACAGGAGCAAGTAAAGGAATTGCTATACTTAGGGAGCAAAGTCACATCTGATGGTAAGAACGTCCGCGAGCTAAAACAATGCGTAGCATTAGCAAAAACTACCACCTTTACTAAAAAGCATAAGTTTAATATATTTGTGAACATGTTTTGTGCTCCCCCATTTTAAATTTCTAAATACGCCAGTGAGAGCAAGATATAATACAATCTCGCTTTTAAGCCTTATAAATATTTGTTTAAATTGTTGAAATGATAATATTTAAACATCAATCGTATTAATTCATTTAATCATGTATAAATAATTATAAATTCCTAATGACATATATTTTCATATTATTTATAACTATATTTTAAATAAAATTCTGAAATAGTCATTTTTTAGCCCTTTTCTTACAAAAAATGTTGGTAGTTTGATGATAATTTTAAGAAAGTACAAGATTTTTAATACTTAGAGTGGGTACGAAACACACGTGAAGTATATGTACACCAGTAGGAGTTGTTCTCAACCGTGTTCCATTTTCACTAGATGTATTAAAATTGTTGTAACTTAATAACTTTTTGTCCGAAAATTACCACCAACCCATTAAAAATAACTACAAGAAAAGTACTAAAAATGACTATTTCAAAATTTTGAAAAAAATATAATTTTTCTTATTAGTAATAAATAATAAAAAATATTCAATGAACGTAGTGATAGAAGACATAATTATTTAAAAAAAATTTTCAATTAAGTCAATTAAAAAATCAAAAGTTATAAGTGTTGTTAATTAGATCTCGGGTTTCTCTGTATACGGGGTCATTTTTTTATTATAACCCACTCAATTACTTACATAATAAATATAATTTAAGCATTTTTCTTAATTATTATTTTTAGTTACACATTATTCTTGAATTATCAACTATGTAATACTTTTAAAGTTCACCCTTTATACCTAGTAAGGGTGTCAACTTGTTTTTTAAAAGGGAACACATATTCTGTGTTTAATAAGACGTTCGAGTTTTTAATTAAATAGTAAATGGCATTTGAATTTTTAGTATAATTTTATCTGTTTATTAGATATAAACATTTAAAGTTTCAAATTTTTGAGTTGATATATATTTGTATAATACACGAGGGATACAAGTATAGGTAGCTAATTGGTTTTTTATGACATCATTATTAGCAGGTACACAACATTATTATTATTAATGGTAGTAAGGCACATTGTTGTGAGTTTATAAATACACTAACTGACAATACAGAAAGTATAGAAAGTATAGAAACATAATTGATAATAAAGCTCTCCTTGAGCTTCCCCCTATATCTATACCTACTGTTACTTATTACTTAGGTTTTAATCAGTTTCATTAAAATTTGTACTAACTAATGATGTAATCAAAATAACTTAACATAATTTATAAATACATGTAATTTTTTTTTTTAATAATAAATGAAATACTAATAATAATTAATTTTATAAATAATCTTTATTCTTGAATTCCTTTATAATGTATAATTGTTTTTTAACGACCATATATCACTAAAATGTAGCATTTAATTTGATGCGTCATGTAATCTATCTTAAGTCAAAATTTTATTGATAAAAACATATTTTCAATTTGATTAAAGTTTATACGTTGAAGGTAAAAGTTTTTGTTAATTTTATATAAGTAATATAAGTTTTTAATTTTGATTATAGTTCTTAAAAAAATGTATAAAAAAAAATTTCAATATTTTAGATTATTAATTTTTAAATTAACTTTTTATTTTTGCCTGGTTAACGGAAAAACAAAAACTAGCTAGTATTGTAAGTCTTTATTGCAAGGTTGTGTATGGTTACTACAACCAGTCACTGAGACCTTGTGAAAGAATTTTATAATCAACCGATCAATATCTGTATCATTTGCTGTTGCAGTGGTAGTAGTAGTATGGTGTTGACAAGGAACTATGTTATCTGCACCATCACCGCGATCACAATGTGATCGGGTAACGTCCCATTTTGGTTTTGGTTGGGTAAATGATGATCGTTCGATATCATACTTTTCTGGGGGCACGTCATTTGAATTTAGTCCACACGGACAAAACATTTCTGATAAACAAGACGATGGCAGAGACGTTAAAGAGTGTGGTTGACACGCAAATGGTAAAGGTCTGCTAAAATCATAACGATAATGATCATAGTAAGCATAATTGGTATCCTCACACTCTAGTCCAGTTGAAGACGAAGGTGTTGAACGTGGATTATCTGAAACAGCTGATGACGCTCTATACGTCTTGGGTCGCTCTATCATGGAAGCTTGCATGCGTCTCTCTCGATCTCGCAACACTTTTTCACGAGTTTTTTTGTCTGCAGGAGGCTTAGCCCATGAAATATCGAACCGGACACCACTACCATCGACATTACTACCATTCAGTGCATCCATTGCTGCCTGCGCGTCCATACGATGTGCAAAATGTACAAAAGCAAAATTCTTAAGGGTTTTTACCCTCTCAACTCGTCCATATCGATTGAAAATTTCAGCTAATGCTCGTTCCGTTAGTGGTAGTGGTGTCTGTCTCACAAAAAGTATACGTACCAACCGCATAGTTTCCTCATCTAATTCGGGTTCCGGGTCAGCCCAGTCGACTATAGTTTTGCACCCGAAAACAGTAAACTTACTTAATCGTTCTTTTGCCTGGGTAGCCTGCTCCGGTGTTTCATAATCCAGAAAGCAAAAACCACGATGCATATCTGGATCGTCTAAGCTTTTATATGTTATGGCTCGAATAAGACCCGGTGAAATCGAACCCACTTCGTCGCATATTTCTGTCTCAGATTTAAGTTTTGGTAGATTCCCTAAAAATAATCTTGTACCCTTGTTTATGTTGTCTACAATGGTCATGGTAATCAAAAAACAAATTAGTATTACAAAATTTTTTAATTTTGAAAATTTGAAAAATAACACCGGACGACACAGTACACACACAATTGTTTTATTTTTTACTTGTTTTTACTTTATAATTTCTTTTGAGATTAACAATTTGTTAAGTAATGCTAATTGAAGAGCTAAAAAAAAAAGTATTATTTATGTTTCTAATTGGCCAGAAGTTTCCAATTATTAAAAAATCCTAGTATTTTGTTTAATCACAGTAAAATATCTAAGAACTAAAAGTATTAGAATATTAATAAATAATTAAAGATATAATGTAAATATTGACCAAAAAACTTGAAATTAAAAAAAAATTGTGTCTTGGTGATTTTGTACTTAAGTTTTTGAGGAACAAGTAGAAATTTAAAAAAGTTATTAATGGAGTCTTTAGTGTGCCAGTTTACTATATTCGTATATATTATTCTATAATAATATAATATAATAAATTTTTTATTTATAAGCTCAATTTCCGAAATTTTATTTTTTGTATGTTTTGTGATACTAATGTTGAAATATGCTTGCTTTGCTTTGACCCTGTTGGAGGATTGTTATGCTATAATTTTTATTTTGTACTGTTATATACCTACTTATCTATAAAATCTATAGTAATATAAAACATGTAGTATCATTAGCTGTCTTAAGGAGGAGATTAAATGGAAATACAAAAATAAATATTTTAATTAATTTTATCATTTATGACTATCCTACAGATTCAATTTTCTTTAAAACATTATCATAAAATTAAAAATCTATTCACAATAAATAATTTTAGTTAAAGTGACACTTCAAAAATTCTATTCTTAGACGTATATAATCAATTTGTTTTATTTTTTTTTATAGGTTGTTAAAAATGTTATATTATCCTTTAACACTGTAATTGAATACTTCCATTAAACATCAATAAATATTCTTATGAAATCTCATTACAAATGTATACATTGCCACTTGGCTCCTACAAGTGAGTTGAGCTGTATGACTTGAGGATTGATCAGAAATCATATAATTAAACTAATTAGAAAATATGTTTCAATTAGATAAAATTACATAGTGTATGAACATAGTATTAGGTTGGGCGTCCCCACTTATATTCATGTTTTAATAAAACAATTATTCAAAATAACAAATAAAAATAATAATATAATGATAAAATCAAACTAAGACTACATAAAATGAATTGATACGATTTAATCCAACTTAAAAAGAAACTGAAAGATAAAGATTTGGAATTAGACAAACGCCATCACGAACTGTGTGAAGCAAAACATATGATAGGAAAATTAAAAAACCAGTTTGAATGTGAACAGAATGAATTGAAAGAAAAAATAAACTGTATTAAGTCTGAAAATGAAAAACTATTATGTGAGAATCGTACAATAAATCAAAGATTAGAAAATATACAGTTTCAAAATAAACAATTGAAATCGCAGTTGAAAGATATGGAAGGGTAATTTGAAAAGCTTGAAAACGGTTTATGTGAGACTCCTTGTGATTTCAATAAAGATATATCTGATAAAAGTCACTCGGATACTTTTAAAATAAAGTGATTTTATAATTATTAATTTAATTACTAAACATTCAGTTCATTTTTAATAGCAAGAGTTGTTTTTCTTTTTGACATGTTATTATTGTAATAGCCAGGTATGGAAAAAAATGATAGCAAATATGATTTGGGATATTATTCTTATAGTTTTTTTTAAGTTAATTAAGTGTTAAGTACTTTTAAAATAAAGTGATTTTATAATTATTAATTTACTGAGTTATGACTAGCTGAGGCTCCACCCCAGACCCGAGACCCTATTAACCTCATGCGCCTTCGACGCGTAAACCTCTTTGGGCTGTACTTATAAGTTAGTCATTGGTTCAGACAAGAGTACCCGGCTACGTCGGTCACGATAGGTGTTTTGCAGGAAAAATATTAGATCAGAAACAGTGTAACAAAAATATATTAAAAATTCAATTGATAAAATCAAGAAAATTAAAAATTTCAGAAATAGTAAAATGTATTGGGTATAAAATTGACATTTCTTTACNATTCAGAAATAGTAAAATTGACATTTCTTTACTAACATATTCACTAGAAGCATAATAAGAAATCATTTGTAGGACGTTTTATTGTTTTTACTTTGGTAGAGATGTTGTAATAGACAATTTTTTGTTGAAAATTAAAGTGAAAAAGACAAAAAAAAAGTCTTTAAATTATATTTAGGCTATATTTTTTGGATATTGACCTTAAAAAATATTGATAGAGTTTTTCCAAGGGGGTCAATCGTCCATTTCCTATTAAATATACTCATTGTATACACAATAATTAATAATATTCTAATTATAAATATTGCATTTCACCAAAACAAACTATTTGTTTCTAAGAGCATAATTTATGGATTAGATCATAAGAATTCGCTTCGAAGTGTTGCTGAATACTGATACGACCCCGCGACACGTGCCACCTTTATGAGCCGTCGCTCTATTACATGTGTCGTAATATAATCGTCACTATTATTTATATGGGATAACACTAAAATACCCTGTTCATGTACTCAACAATGCTATCTTTTTAGTATTTATTAATATATTCTTTTTCATTTCAAATAGTCATCACTTCTATCCATAGAAATGGTTCATTTTAACTTGTTTCATTATACATTATATTCTTACAAGGACATGATCCTTTTCGAACAAAAATTTAGATAAACATTNAGTAGGGTAATTTAGGGGATTCTGGTTCCCCCCCGCCTCATCCCTTCACCCACCCACCTGTCGCGGGGGAGGGGAGTGGGCGTGGTCTCTCGATGGTGGGGGTATTGTCAAGGTCATACATG